AACCAGAACTCTACCACCCATCCTAAAATCTTTGTATTGTTAATATTAATACTGTGCATTTCCATGACTTGACCAGACACACAAACTCCACAACTCGGTATCCTTCGAACCTCCAGTTAGAAGACTCTAACTGACTACTTTGAGGAAAATTCACAAGCCAGAAAATACGACAATAGGATAAAATCCAATCCAGTTATAGTTTTGGCATTTAATCAGCGGTATATAAGTACTCTAACTGCTGCACTATATATAATTATCCTACTTATAACTACCGTATTTTTCGGAATATAAGACGTACCGGTGTATAAGACGCACTCTTATTTTGAAGACAAAGTTTTGGGGAAAAAAAGCTACAGTCGCATTTGAAAGATTTTTATTGACAAAAAATTCAATTTGATAATTTAAAAATTAGTGTATATTGTTCTAAACACAAAATAGCTCAAAACATCAAAATAAGAAAATACCGTAAATCAAAAAAAGTTTGGTTCAAAACCTACAAAATCTTTATTGCTTTCACTGTAATTTATTTTTTTATTATTTAGGGAGCATTATAAATAGTTATGTTTTTAAAAGAAAAAAAAATACTATTGTTATAAGTAACACATTCAATTGAACTAAGCTATGCATGCCTATTTAAATATATTTACACATGGCATGTGTATATCTTATATATACATATATATTATTCATACCTTCGGTGTATAGGATGCAAGCAGATTTTGACATCAAATTTTGGGGTAAAAAAGTGCGTCTTATACACCGAAAAATACGGTATGTTGTCTCGTTGCAGAGGCCCCCCAGTGGCAAAGCGGTATGTCTGCGGACTTACAACGCTAGAAATGGGTTTCGATACCCGTGGTGGGCAGAGCACAGATAGCTCATTGTGTAGCTTTGTGCATAATTACAAACAAACAAACTCGTTGCAAAGATGGCCTTAGGACGAAACAAGTTTGTAGTCGCTTTTGGTTCGGTGCTAGAAGTTTGAAATCCAATAAAATATTCGGAATTTGTGCCATGAACCAACTTAAGATAATACAGTTTAATTATATGTGCTCAAGTTGATATGATAAAGTTGATAGATGCGATGTACCTAATAGAAAATGCACAAGTGCTAACCAACGAGCGCTCGCATCGATATTGTGACGCCATGCGTTTTCGCCCCCCAGTGGCACAGCGGTATATCTGCGGACTTACAACGCTAGAATCCGGGTTTCGATACCCGTGGTGGGCAGAGCACAAATAACCCATTGTGTAGCTTTGTGCTTAACTTCAAATAAACAAACAAACCTTAATGTAAAAGCTATAATTTGTAGTAAAATAATTATTAAGTATTGGTTGCCTAAGTGACCTGAAAGTAGGCGCAGCACAGATAGCCCATTGTGTAGCTTTGTGCTTAATTACAAACAAAGAAACCATGTGTTTTCGAACAATTATTATCAATTAATAGCAGAAGGTTCCACGAGCTACTATGTCTTTAGGCCTCTAAAACTCTAAGGCAGACTCTGCCTACTTGTTAGTATAAATCAGTCTTCACTTATAACAGGACATTTTTATTTACACCAACAAGTGAACTTGTTTAGGTCTCTTACGAATCCCGTCACCGAACACGCTCGCCCTTTTAGCTTGGAGGCGTTATAATGTGACATTTAATTCCACTTTTCGTTAGTAAAACAGTAGCCCAAGAATTGGCGATTGGTGGTGTTGACTAGCTGTCATCCCTCTAGTCTATCACTTCTAAATTAGGGACGGCTAGAGCAGATAGCTCTTGAGTAGATTTGATCGCAATTCAAACCAACAAACAAATAAACAAATCTCTAACATCAGCTACTTTAATGATTACCAATATTCGTACTAAAATAGGTGTTTAATTTTAGTACAATACTATCACATGTTTCTAATATTTTGACACTGTGTACACTATTCTTATTATGGCATGTCTCATGTATACTATTTTATGTATCAGGTTGACATTGGATTTATTATCATTGTAATTATGATAACTGATGTAGTTAATGATTATTTCTCATATGATAAGTTACGAATTGTAATTCCCCTTTCGCATTTTAATATTTACAGATGAGAGCTAGTGATTAAGAAATGTTTGAAGGTATAATTGAAACTAAATTATTGTTAGTAAAGATTGCCAGGTGACGTTATACGTCATTGAGTAACCCCTGCACTGCACCTCTTTCCAGCATATACAGTCCTGTATTATTGTACTTGTTTTGGTACATTCCATTTGTTTTTTTGTACTTCAAAGTTACGTAATACGCTATCTACGCTCTATGCACGCCATGGAATCGAACCCCTAATTTTAGCGTTGTAAGTCTATAAACTTATTGCTGACTCTCTTGTTACCATCCTTGACAAAAATCCCTCATCATTAATTCGAGTTATACACTCGTCAAGAGTACAAAATATACGTCTATCTATGTATACATCACTTTCGTAAACAGTGAGTTTTGGATGTTTAGAGATGTATAAAGTACATAATCCTACTATACTAGACGTGGCATGTATATATGATTTATCTAAGTATGTGTCCGAAATAATAAATACATTGTAGCGCCATCTATTGAATGGCACCACAAACACAAATCCACAAAAATATTTCAAACTTTGGGTATTCAAGATTCAGACAGTTAGAAAAATAACTACGGTATGTGCAACAACCATTT